ATACATACATATACATATATATATAAATATAAACAACTAAGTGGTAATAAAATAAGGGATCATTGATTCATTGATTAGTATGACCACAAACACCTTTTTTAATTAAAATGACAACACAATGCTTATTTGCAATGAGCATTTAACAAAAATGATGATGTCCATACATATAAAGAAACATATATCAAAAGTGTCACACAGGCATCACAAGAGGGCGCAATTTTAACATTCATCAATTACAACAGAGCCTACTGAAATGTTTAGTTAGAGGTATGAGTTGAATGTTTAGTGAGTGTTTTACACAAATTCAACTGAAAAGCATCGTCAGCTGGATCTGTTCCTGGCCCAGGGGCAAACCTGGACAAAGCTTTATGAAATTCAAAATTTTGCAAAAAACAGTCCCATTCACTTTATAAGAAAACAGTTGTCATCTTGCATTTGGTGCCCAGTTTGTCAGCCAATATTGTTGGTCCTTAGTTTGTTTTAATTTCATTGCAGTCCATACTGATAACAAACTGGAGAATGCTGGAGACTTCAGTCCCATGTACCTTCAGGATTCAGACTTAATTCCTCTGGCAAACACTCCGTACACAGTTAATCAGTATTCAGTCTGGTTGTGCAGTACAGAGCTATAAAGCAGCGAGGAATTGCTGGTTTCTCATTGAGTCTGTGTGCTTTAATGTGTAATGTACGCACTCGCATCCTTTTCCTTGGTCATGTCCTTACTCCTGCACTCCAACCAAGGCTCTTGGGAGCCATGTTTCTTTAGCTGTTACAAGGGGTAATAACCATCGCTGAAAGAGCATTTCGCGGCCTTAAGTTGAGAGGAAATCCGCCATGTCTCCACAGCTTTCTCTAAGTCCGGCAGGATGTCAGGCACAACAGCTTGCTCAGCTATAAAGACTATCGTCTCCAGGACCAACAGCAGGACCCAACCTAAAGCTCCTAGCCAATAGGAGGAGCCGAGGCCGGACAAATCTTGACGGATTTCCTCCCGGTGCTGATATGTAAAAAGAGACCAGCTGAGGAGGAAAAAGAATCCTGTAGATAGAGGAGACAAACGAGTCATATCAAGTATCATTGGGAGGAAAGGGGGGGGGGGGGGAAAGAGTCATTAAGGTCAATTATTAGTGCCTGGAGCTTTAGAAAAGCGTTTGTATGATAATGAACTGCAATTCCAAGAGAAGTAAAAAGTCTCTTTAAAAACTGCTTCCCTGCAGGGTATGTTAATGAGAAGTACATAAAAGAATTTCTGGAGGTGTCGGTTTGACATGAACTACACAAACCAAAAGGCTATTTTGAGGTTAATTGGAAATGGGGCCGTGTTTTACTACTTTACTTGGAATGTATATATTATTTTAAAACTCCCGAAACAACAGCAGTCAATTATTAATTCATAGGAAAACAAAAACATGGTGTGTCGCTCAGGCAAACAAGCTGTGTTTCAAGTCACATCATTTTCTTTTTACCTTTAGTACACACAGCAGCTGCCCTTACAACGTTTGTATTGCAAAATGCAACCTGACATCCTGGTATTTTTGGCATACCGCATTTAACATACTATTTATTGGGACGTACCTTTTTTTCTGGCATGCTAAATAGTATGGTAGTAGGGGTATTGGAGCGCATGCAGTGTTTCTCATATTCTGAGCAGTGCAGTGGTGTTACCTGTGCAGGCCATGGTGAGCAGCAGCAGTGTGGAGGGGTAGAGGGCTTGTCCTGCCATGAGGAGAGAGCGGGTGTTGGAGTAGGAGCGCACCGTCTCAGATCTCCAGCAGAGGGCAAACACCAGACACAGAGCACCAGTGCTCACAGCCATGAGGAAGGAAAGAACTCCAAATACTCTCTCCGCTTCCAGCACTGGAAGACACAACAACAGACACACACGCACAGTTCAAAAAGGGAAGGGTAAACCAGACTCATGGATATCTAACTATAAGTTGCCAAAGGTACATTAAGTTTTCACTATAAATAGGCACTGTGATGAATTGATGACTCACGGGGGGATTCCCTCATAACATGTCCCTGCCTAAAAGTGAAACCAGAGGAGTAAAATCAAGAGTTTGTGTACTTTAAGGTATTTTTCACAATAAACTACATTACTTTCAATCTCTCAGTGTGTTTGCACAGTAAGAAACGACACAGTTGTATTCAGTTGGGTGTCCTTTGGTAGCAGTTTAACTCACATTATAACATCACCCATTTTGTCTGTGACCAAGAAAATATTGACAAGAATCTTTTATCTAATTCCCAAATGCCATTGCTGGAATATAGTAGCTGTCTGAGGCAACAACAACATACAAGTACGGTTAGTGTTGGGCTGACTGTATGGTATTTTACTCTTGTATTTTTGTACAAGAATAAAGACATGCAAGCAAAACAAAGTTTTCGTCAAGGATTCAAGGTAACGGGGTGAGTAATTGATCATTTTTGTGGGTTAAGTATTCCTTTAATGTGGATTTTTCACTAGTGATACTAAAGGGCCTTTCTCAATACCCAAGTTCACAAGTCCAGAGAACGCAGTATGGACAATTGGAACAGCAGCTTACTTGATGACATCACCACCTCAGCTGGTCTTGCTAATGAGTTTAATCTGTTTTTTTACTGTAAAGTATTTTTACAATCAAACTAAATATGACAACCCTGCTGTTTTTGTTTTCATTTAAAATAAAAAATTATATATTATATAAGTGTATTATATTATATACACATATATACATACAATTATATGTATTTATACATACATATATATATAATTGTAATTGTATGTATATATATTGAGAAAGGCCCAATGTAACTACTAGGACAGTTAGCTGTCTATACGTTCTGATTCAAGTTTAGTTACTTGTTCCTGGACTAATTGATGGATGACAACCTTTGGTGTAACTTGTTTTTTTTCTTGTTTTTGAATATATAATCACTATCATTTAAAAAAATGCATTCATAGTTTGATAATTGCTTCCAATAAAAACCTGAAAAGACATTCAAAGCTCTGTTTTCAACCTTAAACACAGAGTGAGGGCAGAGGAATAACAATAGATTTAATCTGAAAGTGTGTTTGCATTGTTACAATGTCAGTGGAATAAAAGCAACTGACATAATTTCTTTTAGTTAATGTCCACAAACAAGATGTAGCTGACAAAGACCAGCTGACCAAGATTTCAGCACATTTACTTCCAACCAAGTGTGAACGCTTCTAATAAGAATGCACTTTTCTGGTACAGGGGCGAGCTCAAACTTGTATATTATTGCTGACTAAGAAGCTGCTTTGCAACCCAGTGGTTTTTCAAACGCTCCACCTGATGTGAAAGGATTATTCAGAAGTGTAAAAGAAAAACAGGCTCCCTGAGGCTGATCTCTAGCAGAATCAACACAGCACAGACATGTTTAAATATTATGCCCTTCTTCATACATTTGTTTCCTCCTGTTATACCGTATGTCCGCCAAACCTTTAACCGAACCCTGAGCGACATTTTTAAACAGATGACAAATTCGATTTGTTGGCTGCAGGCAAATGTCGAAGATGTAAATGTGGCTCACCGTTGAAGACAATGGCATCTTTACGGTTTGTCTGGTCACTTTCAGTGTTATTCCACTCTGTCCAGAGGCCCCTCTCCTTCAGCCAGAAGGGTGACCAGACCGCATAGCAGACACACAGGCAACCGACCAGCCCCACACAGGACTGAGAAAACCTGAAGCGACTGATGGAGTCCTTCAGCTCCAGCAACATCATATCTCTGCACCACAGAGAGGCAAGGAGAATGGAGGAGACAGCAGGAAAGAGATGTGCATTTAGAGTGTATTGTAATTGAGCAACAGAAGGAAAGTCTCAATACTGACCTAGTTCATATAAATCAGCTTTAAAAACGTAAAATTGTATTGAAAGTACAGTCTTACCTTTGTTGTTGTCGAGAAGAAACAGGAACAAAGCTGTGAGGTTAGTCAGTTACAGGTACGTTTACACTACTAGTATTACACTGTTTACTGCTGTACAAATACCCTTCTTCTACTGCTCAAGACCACAAGTCCTCACTTGCAACTCAAACCCTTCAGTGTTACTCCGCCTCTGCTGCAATGGAAACTCCCCCAGCCAGCGGCTAAATTTCCCCCGTGAATTCTCCACTGTGACCCACTAGCTCACGCTGTAGAGAAAGTGAAAGCACCATTCACTATTTGAAGAAGCAGAAGTTTGTGTAGAAACCATTGAGCTATAAGGAATAAAGAATAACTGGACAAGAAAAGGAAGTCCGTTAGTCTTTAAATTCTCTTGATTCTTGGGAGATACTCTGTAACCGCAAAATACCACTCAGATATTTGTTTGTGTCAAATGCAGAAACTGTGTGTGCGGGTGACAGCAGGTTATTATGCATGACAAAACATTTAAGGAAATCCCACTCTCTGTTTGTCACAGCGTGTTGTGTGGTTGATGGCGTGCTCGACCTCAGATCTCTCCTCTTCGTCATACCACCAATGGAACGGCGCCCACAGCCCACCCAAAAGAAAGTGTTCAAAATGTCACATTAAAATGCCATTGGAGCATGTTTCATACAAAATAAGATGGTAAACGTCTTAAAATAAATTCACTGGTCAATTCAGATGTACTCTAAATTAAATATTATAGTCCAATAAAGAATCGATACATTCCTTTATTTACAGATCATTACATTTACAGAAAGTACAAAACTTTCTGACAAAATAAAGTGCATCTGATCAAACTATAAAGATGTGTAATCCAGATTACGATTAAAATGTTTAACTATAGCGTGTGATTGATTTTGGTTGATTTTGACATTTTGGCATTCACTGAGTTGGAGTAAATAAACATAAATTCTGGATACAGTCTGGATTACAAAAAAAACAAGGCCGTCTCCTCTAGCAGTTTAAGAATAAGGCCTAGAGATGCAGGTAGAAAAGTACTAACCCTTTCCTCCTCTTTACCCTGCTCTCAGCTAATGTTTCCTCTTCACTAAAGATCAGCCATCAGATTTGACTTTGCGTCAGGTGTTTGTGTCAAGCTTTTCACCATAAGCGCAGGGACTAAGAAGGACGCTGAAGGGCCGCCTCTTGAAATTTGGCAGCTACATTCGTGCCTGTTTATCCGAAGCTTACTTTCTGGCTCTCTGCAGCAGGGTCTTGAATACATCAAGAATCTCTGGGTCCTCCCCAGCCGACAGATCTGGAGTGTTTTTCTCCAGCCAATCGGAGGCGTGGATCTGGTGCCTGAGAGTGCCAATCAGAGAGTCCAGGCTGTCAGCGGGCTTGGATGCCTGGCAGTCCAGCAACACAAACTCCTCAGTGGCCAGCGAGCCTGTGTCAGGAACAGGGCTGTCCTTCTCCTTCTCCTGGTCCGATGACTTGCTCTGGGGTGATGATGTTGAATTGACAACCGCAGCATTGTCTGAATCGGCACTGTCCTCTTTCACTGATTTGTTGCCTTCCTCACTGGCTTCTTTGATAGAGAGTGAAAAAGGGCTGGTGCTTTTTTCTTTGATTTGATTCAAGGCCTCCCTAATTCGCTTCAAGCCTGAAATAACACAAAACATCAGCAGAACACGTCAGTACCTATTATCCATTAAAAGCAGAAGATAAACCGTAACAACACAATTTGGGTGAATAAATGAAATGACACATAATCTACTCAACGTCTAGTTCAAGACAAGACAATGGGAATGAGAGGGAACAACACAAAACAACTACATACATCAACCTTTCAACATATTATATAAGGCAGACTCCAGACTGACCGAGCTGAAGGTGGTGCTGCTGGTGTGCGAAGACGATGCGGAACCAGCCGGGCGTGGAGCAGAAGAAGGCCTGACCACAGGTCAACACCACCTTGTGTCTGAGGAAATGCCTCCACAGACGCAACTCCTCCTCAAACGTCGACTCTCTGAGGTACTACACAAATGGAGAGATAGGAGTGACGCATCAAGCCCCCGGGAAGAAACACACATTGTTTTCCAGAAACACCCGCGTGGGGTTATTTTGCATTTGAATTAGTGCCAGTAAGAACTTAAAATATGTCCGCCCAAGCATCGTAGCGGGACTTTGATCTTGGTACCTCTCGGAGGTCGGCCCAGACATACAGTGTAGCAGGTCTCTCCAGGCAGGGGACGCCCATACTCTGCAGCTCTCCTGTCAGGTAACTGTGAGCAGCTTTCAGTCTGCATCTGTTCTCGGGTAAAAAAACGCCACTGATCCACTCTGGAACAGGAGAGCGTGAAGTGGCAATACGTACGTGTAAATTAAATGTCACATGTCTTTGTGCAGCAGAACCACGCTGTGCTCCTGTCATATCAGAGGAAGCCGGGGGAAAAAAAAGGGGCAATATCTATCGGAAGCGGGCAAACCGCTACAAAGCACATTTCTGAATTGTTGAAAAGCTTGCATCCAAAATAATTCCAGTTTAGCAATTTAAACCCAACAAAACACTGCTTGCTGAGTACAAGGACAGCTGATTGTATTCGTGTGAATCTTGACTGGTCTTTACCAAAAGAGGGTTGATGTGATGATTATTTTCTCAATACATTGTTTGGCAAAAGCACATGAGAAGCGTGGCTCCATACCTCTGTCCTGAAGCAGTTGTGCTACTTGGTGCTGGGTTGTTCCAGAGACACCGTGGAAGGAGCCCAGCTGGGCCATAGCCTCCACGAGGTCTGCGTTCTCAGTGTACAGAGTGCCCAGTCTGGTTCCTGCCATTGCAAAATCCTAGAAACGACAGATTATTATTTTATTTTTTTTATCTTCACATACATACATGAAATTCCATGTCTGCATTTAACCCATCCTAAGCATTTGTGAGCAGTGGGCTGCTAGGAAGCAACTGGGGGTTCAGTGTCTCGCTCAAAGACACTTTGACATGCAGACAAAAGGTTGCGATAGCAAATTTCTATGGAGTATTTTATCCTTCTTACTTAGTATATATATATTTCTACTCAGTATATTGTATTCATGCATAAGTACTTTTGCTCAGTAGACCTTCTTTGTGTTAGCGTACGTGCTCAAATGTATCTTGCTGTTGTAACTATAGAAGAATTCACCCTTGCCGGCGCGCAAAGAAATCTGTAACTATGTTATGTTATGAGAATGTTCCAGCGCCAAGGCCGTCTGGCCGCTTATTTTAGTTGCTGGCCGTTGGTTTTTCATTGTCCTTTCGAACAGTCTGAGACCAAAATGTGCCGGAGAATCGGACCGACAACCCTGAGCCATAGCCACTCCCCAAGAGGAAGTAAATGAAAAAGAAGGGTGAAAGCAAACACCCACTGAGGAAAAAACGAGAGATTTCACTGTACTGTGAGCAGGGATATAAAAAGTCTCACAACCTCACACACTCGTACAGTGCAGAACAGAACGTACTTTGCTCAGCCCCCACATTACATGTGTCCTCTGTGCGTCGGGCAGACTGAAAGAAGAGCACATCATGAGCAATTAAGGGGCTGTCCTCGGGCCATAGTCGTTATGATTAAAGCTCTAATAGAGTAATCATGCAGAGGTTGGGTTCATGCAGTACCTGTCTATACTGAGGACACTGTGAAAGGCAACAGGTCCATCAAAGACCGTCAGCATGTATATTTCATCAACGATAGCGTGGAGCTGATGTCTGAAACCGGGAATCGTAGAGGGAAAGAGAACATAAACATACAGAGTGTAGCATTAATAATAAACCTTGGTTTTATATTGTTAATCATTGTTTATGAGAAGGAAAATGCAACAGAAATGTAAAATGGTCCCCTCCGCGTCCTACGTCAGTGTAACAGCACCGTGGTTTATGGTTACAACAGCTCAGTGCCTGCAAGCGTCTGCGGAGGGAATTACTCTGGCGAGATGATTTAGAAAACATGATGCAGGAGACTCCTTGGCACATAGCTGCACTTGACAATATGTTGATGGTTAAGAGAGGTGATAAAACTGCATCAAGAACGCTTGATATTCCATACAGGGGACACCAGCTCCCGGGCCGTGAAATAAAACAGTTCACTTGGCGCTTTGTGCTTGAGAATTACAGTGTTGGGCCACAGCGTGAGATAATAGTGGGGAAAAACACACCTTTTGGCGAACTCCAGGAAGGCAATCATCTCCTCCGGGGTGTAGATCTCAGCCAGAGGGTTGTGGGGGTTCATCAGTATAACAGCTCGGATAGTCAAACCCTAAAACAGATGGCCATAAATGTCTTTTAAGTCTTTAGAAATGAAGCTGCGTAAGAATAAATGCATTCATGAATTACCTCTTGTTTGGCCCTTTTAAGCCCTTCTTCTAGTTTGCCCACAGTGAGGTGGAAGGGTCGACTGCCTTTGCCATCGGCCTAAAAATGAAAAATACCAAGACGACAATTGACAATACACCTCACTGAGCGAGACCACATGATGCACTTAAAAGGTGAAGGCAATAAGCATATAAATGTGAGGTATATCGAATGTATACATGATCAGTATGGCACAACAAGTACATAAAGAGCAGACATTTCAAACACAAGCACATAGTAAGCACTGCAAATCAGGCTCTGTATTCCTACCTCACAGTCAAGAGGAACATGGAAGACTTTTACATCACTATACAAGTGTAGATCCTCGGTGATAACGCCGTAGAAAGGAGTAGGGATGAGAATGGCATCTACAACATGAAATACACAATGACCACCGACATACAAAACACATCCACCAAGACCCATGTGAGCTACTATTTAGGGTATTAGTGCTCATTTGCATTGCTGATTTAGAAGCAAATTCAACAATTTGTAAAAATGTGCTCATCTGAATTTGCCAGGCAAATAAATGGTTTACCATAAAAAGGATCCGTGTTGAAAGTAAAGAGACAAACACGGGCTGCTTTTGAGGCTCATGACTTTCAAAGCACTTGTTGAGCAAAACAAATAGGTTACATTGCTGTAAATGAGGCATTGCTTGCCGTGGCACTAAAAAGAATAAGCAATTTCTGTAGCTGCCTAAATAAATAAATTCATGAAAAGGTGTTTTGTATAAATGATTATTCTACAACTTCCCCGTTCTATTATATCATATACAAAGATCTTTTTTTGTTGTTGTTGTTGCTATTGTGCACATATTTGTATTCATGCAGTATAGATATGGATGTATTGTGTGTGTGTGTGTGTGTGCGCGTCAGTGCATTCTGAACCTACCTTCAGGGTCACAAATGACTGCAGCAATACACGAGAAGATGGAACTACAGCCATTCATCACCACAACCTGAACAAACACACACACACACACACACACACATCCAGCGTGTTATGAAAGACCCAATTAAGGCACAGAAGGAGGCCTGATAAATGGGATAAATATGCTACAAATTCATCCACTTCCTAAACAGCCATTCATTACATCTGCAAATTAAGTTGGTTACCCAAAACAACAAGGTTAGTTCAGCTGCAGCATTTAGCGCCTTTATAATCATTACCGAGATAATGAGATACATTCCTTGAATCCATTGAATGAATGGCTGTACTCGGTGTCTTCTGCAGCAGCAGTATAAAACATTTATAAAAGACTTCTTTGTCAGTTATTTTGTCCTTTGCTGGTCATATGTATCAGTCACGGGAAGGGAACCTTCTTCTGACATATCACAGCAATCCTGATGGACTAGTTATACAAAAACAAAACAAAGAAAAATGGATGTAATCCAACCCATTCTAGGTTAAAGCATGCAGCTGCATGACAACTCTGCTAATTCATTGGTTGATACAGTTTTACTGTTTGTTTTAAGTCTGTTACTTGTTTTTTCTTTGTAAAACTTCTTATTTTCTTTTGTTGTTTGAACTTTTATGCTCAACCTTGTCTTGTGAACAAATGTATTGTTTCATTAAAGAAGTTTAAAAGAATACAATTAATTCTCTTTTTACATGTGGAAAAGCACACAATTATTAGATGTAACGTGTAATGTAGAGTCAAACGTGCAACCAGTCATTCTGAGGAGTAGTTTTAAATGATTAATGTCGAGGTAGAACAGTAGCGCTGTATTGTGGTTCAGGTGGCAGTAATAGTAAACTCTGTAGTTTAAACTCTTGGAGATCATTAATTAAATTCCAGCATCAAAAGCAACAACCTTCACTCACGCTGTCAGCCTTCAGCGGGTTCGGAGAACAGCAGTAGTGAGTCATGAACTTTGCCACTTCCTCTCTCAGGCTGCAAGAGAACAAAGGTTATAAGACGGGTTTAGTTTGAAAGGTCTCGTTAAAATGTAACTTTACGACGAGCCACTCGTCTAAACTGAAAATAATGGTGCACTTTAATCCCTTACAATGCGTGTCCCCTCCAGTCTGAATACTGCAACAAGGATGGGCCAATATATAGCATGTCAGGCTTGGTCAGCTGTACCAGAGAAGAAGAATGAAATTCATTTGTGAACGCAGGCAGAATCATTCAGATTACCAGGCCGTGATTGCATCGTTCATTTTACCCGTTTATGAAGGAGATCATAGCTGAGCTTGTTCTCACTGGTAGCCATGTTGATTATACCCTGCGAGTGAGAAGAAAAGAGATGAGAAATGTCTGTTATGGTGACATTGTTTTTGGAACATCGGAGCCGTCTGACAAGCCGTAACCGGTATTTATTCAAGACTCACATCTGGGTTCTCTGTGTCGTGGTGTTTGTCTGTTGCATATTGAGCATAGCTCTGCTGGAGTATGCCTTGATTTTGTCGGATACTGTTACCCCGGTTAGACAGGTACACGCTGCGGCCGAGAGACTCTGCACCTCGCGGAGTTGCCAAAACACTTTGGGACATTTCGCAATCCTTTGCAGATGTAGACGGTGTTGATTTTACGGTTTCCTGAGAAGAAGCCGCCTGCGTAGTGGGAGATAACGAGACAGAGATGGCGGGTGTGGTCGACAGATGAGCCAGGGGTGAGACGGTTGGGTCGGTCGGTGCTGTCGTGGCGGTCGGAGCGCTCTGTCTGGCAGCAGCCAACGCCCCCGTGAGTATGCTGAAGAGGCGGAGCTCATGCTGACGCTCCTGCTCCGCCCTCCTCTCCTCCCGCTGTTCCCTGCGCTCCTCGGCCTCCAGCTCTTTCTCCAGCCGCGCCTCCTCCAGGGAGAGGAGGCGCTCCTCTGCCGACTGCTGCCACTTCAGGAAGCTGGCCAAGGCTTTATCCAGGCTCTTTTGACCTCCGCATCTTGCACCCCCATGGCTCCAGGAGGTTTTACCACCCAGGCGTCGCTTCCTCTGTCTCACAGATGTTGGGGGGTGAGAAGCCGTCTTACTGCGCTGCTCAGATGTGTCCCGTGGCACAGGGCCACCAACAGCGTGGGTGGTAGCCGTGACAGAACAGATGTCGAGATCATTAAAACCTGGGGATATGAAAAAGAGAAATAACTTTTCAATAACCTTCTAACCTTGTGGTAAGTACTTTGATAATGATAATAATAATAATAATCACAGCATTTGGATTGACAACCTGACGGTGAGATTCTTGCATTTGTTGAGCTCTCTCCTCGACCCAGGGAGTCCTCCGGCCCCAGTAGAGACTGCCCATCAGTTTCCTGGTCATCTCCAGATCCATAGTACATCTCGGGGGGAGCGACACCGGAGTTCAGCATGCTCTCCTCAACATCTTCACATTTAATATCCAGCGGATCGCCAGCTTTCGGAGGCTGACCAAACAGAAACCCACCCGAGGAAGTGGGACCAAAGGCGCCTGCTGGAGCTCCTTGCAGGTACACCTCTGGCCCACCCTGGCTCTGAAACACCTGTTGAGCTATGACAGCTCCGCCCATGGAGGAGTAGGTAACAGCCGGCCGGTTCGCCAGCACCCTGTCCATCACGTCATAGAACTTCCAAGACCTCATTTTGTGGTTGTCCTTAATGCGGCGGTACTCCAGCTTCATCTTTTTGATCTTCTCCCTGCACTGGTCACCGGTACGGTAGATGCCCTTCTCGCGCAAAACGTGCGCTATGCGGTCGAACACCCGCTGGTTGCGCAATGAGCTCTCCAACTCAATCTGGACCGACTCGTCGGACCACAGCTGGAGCAGCTCCACTATCTCCGGGTCGGTCCAGTTGCTGCCTCGCTCGTGCCTCCTGCCGCGGAAGTCCATCGTCTCAAGTTACAGGAAGTATTCTGCAACACAAGACGGCGGGATAAGATGAAGAAACACGAGCGGCCACCTCTGCCTCGGAACACCTAGACCCGTTGCTTAAACGGGTCACGTGTTATTCTTGATGTACAGTTTATTTACACAGTAAACGCACGGTATTTACCCACTTGTGTTCTCTGACCGTAAATCAAAAGTGTAGCTCTTCGGGAGCGGATTGTTTCGGGGCTGTCACTCAGATGTGACAGCCGCGTAGGCACAACAGACATGTCACGGCTGGTTAGCCCGGTTTGAAATGTGCAGAGCTTTGTTTAAACTTGGTAAGATATACACTTCATCGAGGGCGAATTTGTCATAACTTGGCAATATGGGGAATTGAGCATACAGCCAGTGGAATGGACGCGTGCAAAAACATCTACATCCGGGTTGACGGCACATGCGTGCTGTTCCTTATTCCGGGATAACTTTGGTCCGTGCTAGGGGGGAGCTGCTGAAAGCGGGCTGTGTGACGGGTAGAGGACACATATGCGAGTCAGACCAGGATGTGCTATGGCCCCCTCTACCGTGCGGTGTGCTTTGTCACCCACGTGTGCGAGTTGAAGAGATATCCAGAAGATGGCGGTCACACACAGAGCTACGAACAATTGTTCTAATGGGCTATCTGGAAAACAAGTATGTGTGTTTTGTGTATAAACGCAGCACAGTAATCCCGTATAACGACAAAATAACGACGATAGCGGGTTGAAATCAACGCAAACAACCATTATTCTTAATAAAAAAGTTCTGTCTTACCATTAGCAAAACATTAATCTAAGCTTTGTAGGTAAATATAATTCCCTTGTGTAAATATATACGTTTTACTGTTGTACATCATGAATTGTTAATTTAATAATACACCACAACAAATAATTAGATTATTAATTTGACCTACTTACGAAGGTTACCTGTCAATGGCGAATATAAAGTAAATAAACGTGACCTTAGGTAAGTGTTCCTCTTTCGGGTTACATAAAAACAGTCACCCGCCCCTTTCACCGACCACGGTGAGGCAAATCAAGCACACGCGACCGACTAGTCGACCCCAAACGTGACGTATTTCCTGGAGAAATTGGTTTGTGGCAGTTTGTTGTCATCTCCATACAGTACTGAACCGTTGTATATATTATTGCCACGTATAGCCCCATCATTCTCCGTTTTTTTTTCCTCCCATCCGTGTATTTATTTTGTGTGTGAATTAATGCCAGCATAACGCTGACCTAGCCGGCAAAACAAGTCATGTGAAACAACTGAACAAAGCACACTCAGAAGACAGCATGGTGATGGTGGTGGCAAGTTGGTGGAGGGTAACGCGCAAGACTGGATGGGTGTATTCAGCACCTGGATGTTAGGATGCGCGTGATCGGATCGCATCATTATTATTCATCTTTTGGACTAAGCAGAGGACGCACCGCCTCAGGTGAGGCGTAAAGTTGAAAGTCAAACCTCAGGAGAAGAGGAGAGTCTCCGCCCGGAGGAGGAAGAAGAAGATAATGAGGAGGCAGAACGTCTCGTGTCCTTTTGGCATCGTAGTTTCTGTAAAAGCCGCGACTTAAAGCTCGATGTGTTCAAAGCAGGGAGGGGAGTGGGTGGGAACAATCGGAGTAGTCGCGGAAAGCCTGACGGCTTTTCTCGCGTAAAGTCTCTCTGCCAGCGCTGCCGACAGCTCGCACCAGTCTTCCCAGTTAGGTGAATCCTTCCCCAGTGTGGATAACGAGCTTTCTTCATCCAATACAGGTGGATCTGTTTATTGGAAGGAGACATGACTTGACCGGCTCGTCCGCAGCGCTTCCTCGCTGAAGTTTATTGTTGGTAAGATAACGACATGTTTCTTGTAACTCTTGTATTTGCGATGCAGTTTTCTGCAGCACGTCTCATTTAAATCTGTTAATTCCCATTTGTCTTCTTCTCTCTCTGTCTCTATTGCGCACAAGCTCGCGCATTCTTTTCTCCCCCTTAACAATTAGTTCAGCCTCTCGGGCAAGACAGAGCTCGTTTAGACACTATTCATCAGATATTTGTGTCTAAGTGTGCTCAGTTTGAACCAACATGCAACTCAACTTTAAGTAATCAAACTCATCCTATGTTGTCCTTTGGTTATTGTTGTTTGTTTATTACCTCAAGTGCAACTCCCAGTCCCTCAACAAGGGAGGGAGTCAAGGTCACTGGCTATTGAGGCAAACAGCAGGGCTCTATAAGCTTCCTCCTCAGATGGCTCACACTACCTCATCGTATCACAGATTACCCTGTAAAACTCATATTGTGTGCCTGTCTTTGTTGGGCCTAAATCTGGTCCAGGTCGAGATCAGAGCTGTTAAAAAAAAAAAAAAAAGGGATGCTCCAATGTTTATGTTGCTGGAGGAAGTCGGACTGTGTGGTTCACATGCACACACCTCTCTAGCTCTGCTGATTCGTCTCCAGCGCTGGGTTTAACAACGCTGGTAATCCTTCAGTAGCAAACTGTCAGGAGCACACATTTTATAAGGAAGCATAAAGCAGGAATGCAGTGGATGAGAGAGAGAGAAGTAGGAAGACACACTTCACGTCAACAGTATAAGTCATTTATAAAGTAGGGCAGAGGGTGTTGTGGATGAGAGGAAGTTTGACACAGGGAACAATGCCAAGATTCAGATGGCTGGATCTCTCTGTGGGACATTACTTACAGAATTGATTCTTTCTCCTGGACACATTGCTGCTGCCCTAGACAACATTTTTATCAGGCTTTTCCATCTCCGCAGCTCGTTTAGGCAAGCGGGAGCAAAGATGGATCAGGCTTTAGTGGCACTCTGTCACGGCGTTCTCGCCTGCTTCAAAGTGTGTCTCTGACCATCGGCGTACAGCTCACTTCCAGCTGCGCACCGCTGCCCTTGGCAGAGCACAACATGCCGGCGCAATCCCTTTTGGTTTTCCAATTGCACTCTTAACGTGGAGCAATTTTCCCTCTCAGGAGAGGACACTGGGCTGTCAGTGGTCCTTCACAAATGCTGCAGTTCTCTCCTGTGCCTCGGTTCTTCCGTGAGAGTGCAGCCCAGAGCACATGGTGGGTGTTGATTTGGCTGGTGGGCAGTCTGAAATAGAGCTGGAGTGCTGCATACGGTCCGTCACAGCTTAGAGTGCTTGTCATTGCCAATGGAAATCGCCTGTTCACCTCCATCAAGAGTGGCTGTGCTATTCTGTCACATTATGCTTATTGCGTCTCTCCAGAGAGAGACTAATGTAGAGAATGTTAACTGAATGCATATGCTTCACATTTGCACTTTCGGACACGTTCACAGAACCGCGGGCTTCTGCTGAGGTTCACTAAGCAGGTTCTCTGGTGCAGTTTGGGGTCAAATGTGTAATGCAGATTTTCCAGATGCGTGGTAAAGTCTAATTGGCAACTTTCTGGTTTCTAACCCAGTTCTCTGAGCTCTTCATTTTGTTTTTAAACATGGCACTTAATAAGAGGTCGATCTAGAGCTGGGGTATACTTATAAAATGTAATATTATAATGTGTGGGGACGTTATCGGTTTGACTGTTGGTCAACATAAGTAATCTGTCAGTATTGGCCAATAATAAACCTCCTGCTCATGTGTGTGTTGAGCTGTAGCCCACGATACACTTCAGACCATAGTGTCATAAAGCCGTAACACAGCCTGAAAGATCAGCAAAGAACATCAAACCACATCAGCAACATATCGACACAGTATTAATGTGACCATATTGTATATCAAAATTCCCCCCGTATCTTGCTCAGTTTTCAGCAGTCTGGCTCTGAACCGATATTAAAAGCTATTGTTCCTCAAAGCTGCAAGTCTGTAGAATATCCAGCAGTGCTCCACACGGCTGGATATTCTGTTGCCCACGGGCTCAAATGATGATGTCAAGACACTAAAGAGTGCACGCAGTGTTGATGCATCGCTGATCCATCACCCTCTCCACTCTCAGGACTGGAATCGCTCTGCGGTGAGTTTGTGCTCCACAGTCATGTTCTGTTGAACACTGAGCAGCGACACCGGAGTGGTTCGGGGCTGAAGGGCGCTCCTCAAATGCACCTCGGCTGTCACTGCTTAAGCAGAGGCTGGGTGATAATTCAATAGGATGATTTCTTGTCTTTCAATGGAATCATGTTGTGATAAAATCATATATTGAGATATTGTGACACACAATTACGTCATCTAAATTGATAACTAACTAGAATTTCTCAGAAAATCTGATTATTTTGCACTAAAGTTCTTAATTAAATGAGAAAATACCCAAAGTACCTTTCATTTGTCAAGCATTTAGTTGCTTAAATGCTCATTATTCGCCAAATGTGTTGATAGGAACTACCTGTTGTTGCTGCTGCTGTTGTGTTCCATAATGCAGAAAGTGTTTTTTTTTTTTTTTTGAAAAGCAGGAGTCTCTGATCAAATATTTCTCACCATCCTTCTCGCCGTGAGATACTGAACTACGCTTTCAGTTCTGTCAATATCTTGAAACGGAAGGTGCTGAATTAATAATTCAAAGCTGTCGTGTTATTTCAGCAGAGCGCAGGTCACCGATCCACCCCTGCATTTCCACCGGCTCACGTATACTCCGGTGTGTTGCTAATCTCCAAAGAGGTTATGCAACTGATTTTCTATTTTCGTTGTGGTTTAGATCCTAAGGTCTCAGGTTCTCCCGTGGTTTGAAGGTTGAAGTTTCATCTCAGTTTCAGGCCTTTCATCTATATTGTAAGAGTAAGCAGCCTCTTGTTAACTCCTCTCCGGGCCGTGTTTTTGAGATAAGGTGTTTTGGGCGTTGTGCTATTATGTGCTCGTTATTTTCTGCAATGCTCTGTGTGGGAGGGATACCCCCCGTCTCTCTCCTCCTCCTCTCTATCTCTCTCTCTCCATCTATTCCTCCCTCTTGGTGACAGCAGACCCCCCTGCTGCTGTTTTTGTGACTCCAGCATAGCGTCTAATGAGCTCAGAAGAATTGCACCACAGGAAGAGTGACAGCCCCTGGTCATGTTTCCACCACCTCTCCTGCTGCTCTCCAATCCACACCCACTCCTCCATGTATCTGCGTATATAGCCACAGATATATATTCAGATCCAGCGAGCTTCTCCTCCTCTTTGAATAGTTTGGATATGTCGTAACTCCCGGAAGCAATTTCTTCAGGGTGAAATAAAGGACGAGGGGCAGCCTCATGCTGGTGAAAAAGTTCTGAAATGGATTTTAGGGAGAATTTAAGGCAAAACAACAGCTTAACTGCAAACCCATTACCTGGCTACTTTTCTTTTTTACATGATGCAAGCTGAAGCAAATGTGTTAAACCTCAGTATCTAAAGGCCACAATGTTTTTCCGTCTTATTGTACGTCTGTGGGTAACACGTCATCATATTCCTGAAAAGTTCCCCCGGTATGACCGGCCTGTCTGTGCTGCCATGTGTTGTAACTGTTGTTACGTGCCTTCCATATCACCAGTGCAGTGGGGTCGGCAGGGGGAGAGACTTGGTGACGAGGTGAACCGCCACCTATACTGCACAATAATCACTTAATTGGAATGCACTGTGAGGATACGCAGCTTTCTCTTTCACCTTCAATGCCTCCGAGGAGTCCAGACACACCGAGGCACAGTCAGCGGAACAGTCTACTGCAGGTTTGCCTTACCTTGCAGAAGTTAGACTCCCGTTTTTCAAAAAACTCCATTAACAAGACTGAAAGTCTACAGCTGCACTGCAGGCCCCCTACAGCCTGCGATGGTCATCAAACTCCACAACTTGAAACTGTTTTGACAGAATGAACACCACACTGAGGGGTTTTGCTGCCTTAAGGGAGTGGGGATAAAAATGTTAATTTGTCCGAAATGTGGCCATAGATGGAGGAAAGGCCACATGGTCGTTGGACTCGAGATGGTTTATCTCCGTGCGCGCCTGCTGAGAGCATGAACATCTTGTCTCACCTGCTTCCCCGTATCCTTCTGCTCTTTGTACAGTCTGCTAAAAAGGTTTATATTGGAAATTCAATTCCTTTGAATTTTTTAAACCTCCCAGAAAATCCAACACAACAGACTTACATTTCCTCAATTCAAAAGGCTTAGACGGAACGCTTAAAGTAGCTGCTATTCCTTTTCACATCGGTGTAGCAGGGATTGACTCACTGACTGGCGCTATGATGCCACGTCGGTGGGATCAGCAGTGGGACTGGACAGGCATTTAAACCTGCATCACCTCCCTCCTCTTCATCTTTCTTTTTGGATGGGCCGATACACTTAGCGGATTCCCACGCCGTGTCGTCTTCCCTCTCACTCCGAGTCCGTTAACTTTCCACAAAGCTGTTCCTTTTTACGTGGGACTTACGGGCTCCTTCCCTACGAATCAAAAGCCTGAGAAATCGTCTTCCTTTCAACATGTGCTCAAATGATGGTCCCTTTTCCTTATGCTTGTTATTTTACCATTCAATTAAAATGTGCTGTACCGTACCGTCTCTAATACGTAATAAGTGCTTGAATTAAAGTTGTGTAATATCCTAAACCTAAGAGCAGCGTCTGAGCGAGCATTTAAATGTCGTCTCCCTCAGACGCCTTGGCCCGTCTGGTTGCTGCTTGTTACAACTAGCTGTGTAGTGGTTTGCTTGAAGCTCGTCTCTGTATTGCAGCAACATGCCTACTGTATATAATTATCATACATTACCATTTCAGGTCTGGAAAAAAAACAACAAAAAACATTCTCTTTTCAGCAGAACAACCTAATATTTATTCTTGGCACATTTATGTAGACGTGTTTTTTTTTTTTAAGCTAAGTATGATGTATGATAAGGTCTGTGGGTGTGCTGTTTATTTCAGTTTCAGTTTTTTGGGGGTTTGCTTTCTGAATGGTACCAGCCGTAGGTAATTCCAGGCCCAAGGGTGACCCAGTTAAGAAGACCATGTTTGTGTTTAAAGCTGGCTCTGTCCTCTCATCTCTCAGGACACTGTTCTACTTCGCTGCTGTGAGGTGGAGCAGCCCCATTCTGCCTGGGTAAGCGGTGACAGACGGACGGAGAGACTGCCCCGTGAAGTGCGCTCCCTTTTCATGGATGCCAGGGTGGCCCTGCTGCACTTGTGGACAGCCCTTGTCCTGCTGACAAAAGAAGTGAAGTGGATCGATGCCGCAGAGGTCTACACCAACACCTGGGCCGTCCAGATCAATGGGGGGCCGGAGGAAGCCGACCGCATCGCCGGGGAACACGGTTTCATCAACCACGGCAACGTACGTCCTTCTTAAACATAAGTGTGTGTGCGGGAATGAGTGAGTTTTGTCTCTCGTACTCAACAACTACCTATGTCACTGCATGTGGGACTGTATCCATACACAGCTCTGGCTTGTAGGTGAGCATCAGTGTTAGAAATCAAAGCTGAGCATCAGAGAGCCAGACATGACCCCTCCAGGCAATCCTGTTTTTTTTGCAGCAGATTGCTGCAAAAGTATAGCCCTCTCCCCCGTCTCGTATTTTAAATGGGGCATGCATGACTTCCTAACACACTGGCAGACAGTTGTTTACAGAGCAGTGTTGGGAATAGATGGGGAATAACAAGACTGTTATTGCAGGGTCTCAAGAAAGGTTGTATTTAATCGCGATGTAGGTACTTTACTTTTATAGCCGCCACTTCGGCTTCTGTTTTTGGTTTTGCCAAGTCATTTTAATTAGATTAGCCGTTGTGTCATACAGTTAGCAGATAGGCGACAGAAAAATAATTTGAAGAGGTGAAGAATAGGGCTAAGAGGGGGGGGAAGTAGTCGTGACTTATTTTCTTAGTGGTGCGTTAAGTCGCTTGAATATCAGAATGCTTCACAGGCTAAGCGTCTCCATATTTGTGCTCAGCAGTTGACAGTGAGTCGCTATATGGTCCCCTCTTCCCCTGTTGCTCCACTTGAGACTTTACTTCATTTGCATGCGTCTTTGTGGAGCTGCCTGAGTGCCACACACGCCAGTGAGCAGCCTTCTGGATTACTTCTTAGGAATTATGCGTAGGTGGTTCTGCATATTCCCCACCCCACTCCTCCCCACCTTAAATAAAGAGGATTTTCTAACAGAGGGGTTTTGCAAATTTAATTCGGGGCTTATCTTTGCTTTTTTTGTACTTTGTCAACGATTGAGCTTTTGTCTGGAGTGCAAAGCCAGATGTTTTTAGTCTCGCTGTTAACATAGAGAGCAGTTGTCACATGGATTTACAGCAGTCTGGACAATATTAGATGTGTGTGTCAATGTTAAATGCTCTTTATCGTCCCGCACATTATATTAGATTGTTTTCATGTGCCTTAACGTTTCGCTCGTCTGAGGGACGTGTACATACTGCTTGGATCTGGAGTTCATTGTATTGATCTGGACAGTTGGTCCAACAGTGGAAATGCATTGTACTGGGCAGTGAAAGAAAGAGTGTACATTAGGGGTAATGGTCCCTTACAGACTTTTACCCTGAACTGTTTCTGTGAATTCCAGAGAGAGAATCAATCTCTAGTCTTAGTGAATTGGTTAAAATGAAATCTTCTGCTCACAGAGCACACATACACATTCTGGACAATCGCCCAGGGACACTCTCTTCCTCCGAACGAGGCAATTCTTCTTTCTTTCATAACCTCTTCATGTGATCACCTGTATGGCTTTTTTTCTCCTCTTTATCTCTCCTTCCCTCCCACCCAAACCACAAAGACATCAGCCTCAAATTCTGTCCCTCAGACCACTAGATTAATGTGGAGGTGTGTAGTTTGTATTCCCCCCATGTTAATTTGTGATTGAGTCAAAGGAGTAGAGCTAGAAGCAGTCACAGGAGCTGTCACTGAATCTCTGATGCCACATGGCAGCTTTCCATTTTAGTGGATCTGGCATGAAGCCACTCTGGACCCCGAGCGGGAGTGTTGTCTCAAAGTGGGCCCTAAAAGAATGAATACAGACTCGCCTCATCCGAGCCAACCATCGGTACCTTTCTGTGGTTCTCACCTTAGCCCACAAGATGTGGAAGAAACGCTATCGTGGAGGCAGATATTGCAACAGTGGATAATAAGAAAAGGGAGAAGTAGACAATAGGGTAAAAAAGATAATTGACAATTTCCCATTGGAAAAATAAGAATTGAATTTAGTATTAAGAACCGAAAAGCTTGAGTGCAGGATGACTGGAAGGGTGAAATTTAGTATTATCCACTGTCTGGAATTAGATTTTGTGTGAGTACATCTTCAGTCATTGTTTCACAGACGCACCCAAATACGTTTTTATTTCAGTCTCTATTCCCTGAGCGGGTGCTATGAGAGACGGATGATGTACAGGATGTGTGCAGAGCCTGTGCTGTGACAGTACAGTGTGGGTTATGTGAGGGTACGCGTTAAGCAAGGCTTTGGATGGCTGGGGGCCCATAGGGGAAACGGCTTAGTCATTTTTCAGTCATCCTTGGTTGTTCTACAGAGCCCTAGAAGAGAGCAAGGAGGCTATAATCAGGAGGTAATGGGATTTTTATCACTAATGTGATTACGGGATCATCACATAACTGATTGTTTCTTCCCTGCAGTGCTCAGAAATACCTTATTGTCTTTAAGTATTTGCAGATTCACTTATTGTGCTTCATTTTATTTGAGTGGTAGTGAGGGAAAGAGAGTGTGTTTGTTTTCTGTGTGTGTGTGTGTGTGTGTGTGTGCGCGCACATGTGTTCAACACCAGGGTTTAAGTGTAAATGCCATCAAGACTTCCCGGTGTGCATCGGCATTATAGAAGTTGCCGGGGAGGGTTGTTATATCTGTTTCTCTGTAATCTATTCAATACTATGTGTGTGTGTTTTTCTTCTTCTAATAATGCTTTTGTGTCTGCGTGGGCGTTCCAGACCAGGGTTTAGAGCTAAATGTCACATTGTGTTCTTAGTGAGCAGAGTCAGAATCATTGTTTTTATGAGGATGGGCAGGATCTGTGGGCGTTGACAGACTGAATCACCCCGCTCTGTGGAGTAGACATCTAATGCCAGAGCCTCTCTCGCTCTCTCTCTCTCTCTCTCTCCATCTGGATCTATTGGTCTCTTTCTATTTATACCTAACTTACCCCAAAATTTGGCTATAGTTTAAATGTAACCTGAAACACAGATTATCCAACTTCCCGCTGTCTACTCCATCGGCCGTGGCCCTCTTCAAAAGCAGCAGGGAAGCAGTCCACTGGCTCCTGTGATGCTGAGGTAACAGGTAGTTTACAGCTGGTCTGCAAATTGCAGACTGCAGTCACCCTGTGTCGGCTAATATTCCTTCAAAATTCAATTTCTAGCTTTTACAGACCACTGTTTCCTAATTTCATACCATAATAGCCCCCCACACACACACACACACACACAACCCCATACCGGCTATGTGCTTGGAAGAATGTAATGTGTTCCAAGGCCATTGTGCGATACTCTGCACATGAAATCCTGCCAACTGTGTGAGGCACCAGCCTACTAGCTCATTCTTGCTCTCTCTCTTTGTCTATTGGATTCAAATGACGTGTACTGGCATGAAATGCAACAAAATAAATACATGAAATACATCTCTCTCTCTCTCTCTCTCTCTCTCTCTCTCTCTCTCTCTCTCTCTGATATATCTACTTATCCGGCTGTGTGAGCTGGACTGGTCACAATAGTTACCATTGAGTTCATGTTTCCTTGCTTAAGAAATGACACTGATGCTTTTAAGAATGCACAAGTGCTCTGTGGGTGAGGACAGTTTGATTTTTTTTTTTTTTTTTTGATTTTTTTGAGTTTTAAAGCGAGCTCCTTCGGGCTGATTATGTCAGCTAGATAGTTGCTTTTATCTTGATTTCACTTGGGCTGTGTGCGATTGGGAGGCGTGTGCATGTCTGTGTGTGCCAGTTAATTTGTTTGTCTAGCTCTAGCTAATGTTTTTGTCCTCATTTTAAGGTAATAGTTTATTAAAAGGAACATAAAAATTACCTTTCTCTTACTCTCTGGTTCTGCAGCCTTGCCTGTTGTTGTCTCTCCGGTGCATATTCGTTCTGAGATGTTCATATCCTCACACTTTGCCACATAAACCAATGCTGCTCTGTTCTGCAGCAATGCCCGCACCTGCAGTATTTGCTGTCTTCTATTTCCCCGAGGACTTTGAAGGGAAATTGAGGAGTGCCTCTCTGCGTAAAAGCTCTGAAGACTTGCCATTGGCACTAACAAATCACAATGAAAGAGTCTCCAGAGGTATTCATATATTATAATGGTACCAGGAGAATATTCTAAGAAAGTGTAAGATTCTTACTCTTTATTTCTTTTTCTTTATTGTTTGCTCCATCACGCTAATGTCCCAAGCCATTTTCAGAATCATTTCTTTGTCTTTTTTTCTTTTGTTCTTTATTTATTTTTCACTGCAGTAAATGTGCCCTTTTAGATATTCTTGAAGTGATTAATCTCAATCCTAATGTCTGATTCCCCCGTGTAAACAAGCGTTCATTTTCAAATTGTAATTTATTAGCTAAGCATGGAGTTCAAGCCAGTTGAAACAAATCTTCATCCATTTACTTATTTGCATTAGATAACTTCTTTATGTCATTGTAGTTGCCAAAATGGTCACGATCCTGACAAAACCAAATAACTTCTGGAAAAACAAAGTTGAGTGGTAATCCATGTAACAGGAGCTATAGGGTCATAATAGCAAGTTAGCATTATAGCACATACAGCTATGAAATATGTCTCTTCAGTGTGTATGCTTTATTCTTATATGGAGCTACAAATGTAAACTATGCAGCGTTGCTCTTAGTGTGTTTACATTTTCATCTTGTTGGTTAATATACTGTGAGTGAGTTATTAACCCAAAATATGAATATTCATACAGATTGATTGACAAACATTGCCCAAATTAATTTCTACTCTCGCAGCGTCGTTTCGTCCCAAACATCATTAAGCTGCATCACATTATCCAAAGCCCCAGACAGATGAGGATCCCCCATATCCACATGTACTAATCCAATACTACAGCATCGCTATCATGTTGTGTGTGTGCCAACACACAACTGAATTTGAGTCCGAATTTGTGAAATTGAAGTGACCGTAAACATGACATGGTCATTTCAGTCAGAGCTTGTATTTTGTCATTTCAGTGTTACTCGATGTGTTGAAAAACAGCTCGGCTGCAGAGCATTTGTTGATAAATCATTATGTGGAATACTTTTTTTTTTTTTTTTTTTGTAATAACCTGATTACTTTTGCAAGCCACAGCTCCTCGACTCCCAGCTGGTGCCTCATTCTGAGCTGAC